AGAAAATAAGCAAATTTTTAGTTTGTCTCAAAATTTATAAAAATAGCTATATTTCTGAAAATCAAATAGTAATTCAAAATTCTTATTTAAGCTCAATTACAAAAAGTTATAGCAATGAGCTATTGTAATAAAATTTACTAAAAAATATCAAGCTTTAGCAAACTTTAGAGTCATGAGTGTTGAGTGGACTATCTTTTATTTAAAGAGAATAATAATAAGAAAAAAACAAACAATTTGTATAGTATAATAGAATTTAATTCAATAGTCTTTTTAAGTATTATAAGAAGTTATCAATAAACAATGAGGTTTAAAAGATTAAACCTATTAGTCAATTTGTATGGATCAGACTTAGAGATTAATACAAAGGTGTAGCAAGATCTTATATAGATGTGAAAATATCTATTCTCTATTTTTATATTAAAAATATTATTTTAATAAATATAATAAAAGTATAACTTGTTATGGATCCATATATAACTCTTTCTGACAATCACTTTTACCAAAAATTTCTAAAAAAACTTTTTATTATGAAAAAATACAAATAGCTATACTAGACTTATAAGATATGCGAAAAGAGATCTTAAAACAGCAACTATCATTTAGAGATAGTTTTCATATGCTATTTGCTAATTTTTTTAAAGTTTATTACTTACTGTGGCAGCAAGCATAGTACTTGTTATTTAGTTCTTATACACTATCTGCTAACAAGCTCAGAGTTTATTACTCATCGACAAAACTTAGTACTATACATACTCTGATATGGCTTTATTTGATTATAGTAAAAGAAACTCATGCTCTTTTATTTTGTATATAAGTGGTTTTTTTTACTTTATTATATCTTTTTGCTACTCTTACAAAAATTTTGACAAAAAGTGGGCATTTTAGCTTACTCTCTCCAAAAAATTAGTATTGTTTATATAGAACTCCAAAATATATATAGATAGGTTAGGTTTTAGTTTGCTTATTTTTTATTCTTTTTGTACAGATTATTTTTATTTATAGTAATTAGTTTGCTTATTTTTGCCTTTTTTCTGCAGATCTTTCTAAATTTAGTAATTTTTGTAAAACCTTACCCCTCTATATATATTTCGGGGTCTTGTTTATATCTTCCATTTTTAGATGGACAAAATAGAACATAAATACAGGATTATTTTGGCAATAATAACCTACACTATGTGACAAACCAATTGGTGTTTTGGTTAACAGGATGTTCTATAGAATAGGTGGGCAATATATAAAATAAACTTCACTAATAATTAGTAATTATTAATAAATATTTAGCGGAGTTGCAGAGTTTGCAGAGTTTTCCCACCTATTATATAGAACATCTGGTTAACAAACCAACCCAGACCAGATAGTAAAGTTAGAAGAAATTTTAATGATAAGGCTTAGCTTTATAATAGAGATATACAAAATTTTTAAATTTAGTATATAATTTTTACAACTTGTGCCTGGCACAGGCTATAATAGTACTTTCATAGATTGTTTTTTTTTTTTGCCTTTTTCTTTTTGTTTTATTTGTTTCTTTTTTTTTGTCTTCTTGTTGCTTAAGCAGTTTTTTTATTTTTTTTTTTCATATTGTTTCCTTTATCTTTTTAGTATTAGTTTTTTTTTTCATAAGTTAGTTGGAGACTATAAATTTTTTTGCTCGTGAAGCTAGGGAAAGAAGGTTTAAAAAAGATAGCAATCTTGATAGGCTGTAAATACTATTCAGTAAAGTATCAAAGAATTCACTTGCAGGTTTTTTGGTATGAAAATAAACCTTTACTATAGTAGATTAAATATAGATATTTACTTGAGAACAACTGGGTTAGCGAACACTTGTAACTTAGGTGGGCTTAAGGTAACTTGAGTCATAATTAATATTTTACCCATGAGTTTAATATTGTATCCTAATAAAGTGTTGGCAAGATTGCCAAACTTTATAAAAAAAAATAATAAAAGCATAACTAGTTATTGTTCAAAGAACATTATAAAAGAGTCATAGTAATCTGGTTGTAACAAATTAAGTGTTTGATTAATTGATCTGATAAAAACAAATATTTGCTCTAAAAATATCTATTGCCAAACTAATCTAAGATAAGTTCTTCAAATCTTAAATGCTTTTATTTATCTAGTATATATATTTTTGATATTTAATTTAAATAGATTGTTTAAAGTTTTTATACTAGCTACTATATTTGTAATCTAACTATAAAGTTATTTATTTAATTTCTAATTTTCTATTTAGTAAAATTTTTAACTTTTTTTTTATTTTTTATTTTTTTTTATAATTTTTTTTGAATATGCTTTAAAACTAAATTATTTTTAAGATAAATTTTCTAAAACAATATATACTTACTGTATATATATTTATCTAGACTTTAGTAATTTGTATTTTAATAAAATTTATATAAATAATTTTAATTTAAAAAAATATATTAAATTTAATAAAAAAAAGTTTATTTGATAATAGAAAAACCCAAGAGTCGTAGTTCTGGTCAAAATTGCAGATCATTTGACCTGATTTGAAATTATTTGATTTTAAAGCTGGCCAAATGATTTGCAAATTTGAACAGAGTTACAAAATTCCGATATGTTTAGTATATAATAAAAATTAGATTAAGTTTACAAGTGTTAATTTTAAAAAAGTATATATTAATTTGTTTTAAATATATTATTGCATTGAGATATTGTATTCATAAACCTTGTAAAATATAGCATCACGTGGTTTCAATTTCATTTGTAACGTTAACATTTTCATTTGTTTAGCTTACTTAGATCAGCGTGTTTTCTGGATCTAAATACGAACATATACACCAATGGCACCTTAACACGAAGCGTAAAACAAATTTATTTACTAAAGTATTTCAAATAATCAAAACTTTGCAACTAAAGGAACTTTTTCTTTTATAAGCAATCTAAATTGTTGTCAATCCACGAAATTTTATTGGCTATTTATAGTAGACGCCAATCTCTATATACAGTGAATTATAAGACAAATCTCTAACGAATATGATTATTAAATTTGCCAGAGGCAAGTGATATTAAGGAATCAAATATCAAATTTCTTCTATAGTTTATTCTAACAATCTATTGCAATATCTATTTATATATCTATAAAAAGTTTATAAGAAATTGATCAGCTGATTTTGAAAAAAAATTCAACGACTATAGCAGAAAATTAGCTTTAGTCGATTTTTTTTCAATATTGTCCAAGATCACTAATTTGAACATTAGTTTGAATTGGCTGTTGAATAGTTTTGGTCTAATTAAGATAATTAGACGTGATTTTAGTATATATTAATAAAAAAATTTAGAATAGAACTATAAAAAATTAGAGAAAAATTTTAACCTCATCAAGAGAACCGTTCAAAAAGATTTCCATCAACGGAACACGTTTAATTCGTTTAGTTTGTCGAGAAGGCGTTTGTACAACTTTTGTTCGTCGTCGTCGTCGCCAAATGTTTCCTCCAGGTGAGCCAGCACGTGAAAATATTTTATTGTCCGGGTCATAATTTTCTTTATTTTCGGAGAAGTTAAGTGAACCTGAGTTGATGGAAATCATTTTTTATCGTTTATTATAGATTATTATATATTATATTATAGATTGGTATTTGGGTTAAAAGGCTTCTCAAATCTGGAGGAAACTAAAAAACCTTTTTCGCGTTTCAATTGTATGCGTAGAAATCATGTAGATCATATATATTTGTGTCTACGGATTAATCCTGGGTCTCCTGGTATACGTTGGCCAATCATATAAAATTTCTTTAAAATGGACCGGTTCCACGAAAACGTGATTTTTTTCGTGACATGAATTGAATAATTCTCTATGATTGGCTATATAACCTAACATGTGATAGTTGGATAACGTTGTTACCTTTTTGATAGGTAAACAATCTTTAGTATTTATTTGTTACATAACTTATATTTCAATAATTATAATAGAGAAATCTATCTTTAAAAAAGGAATAAAATGAATCAACTTATTTGTTATTCTTCATATTAGCACTAAAAACCAAAATTGTTTCGCGTTTCTTTATAAATATTACTGTATTAAAGCCTATTTAGTTACTAAATTAGGAATTTAATGTCAGTTATCGCATATTACGTATCATTTATATATGTATATATAGGTTAAAAACCGTTTCTGAACGAAACATATGTAATTAAGATGAATCCCAGAATACAAAATACTTAAAACTTTGTTTACAGAAGAGTATTTTGAACAATTTTTTTTTAAAAAAAAAACTCACATGACCGATCACGAAAAGTTGACTTCTATTTTTCGCGTTCTAATATAAAATATAAAGTTTCCCTAACGAAACATATAGTTTTCGGATTAACACGTGTTTGGAAAATCGATTCTACAAGTCCGGAGCAGACCTTTACGTAAAGAGACAGCTAGTACAGAAAAAAATGAGAGAAATTTGCACTTTGAATTCTATTTAGAAGATAGTTATTCCTCTCTATACTATTTTATTCGTTATAGGGTAAGCTTTATACAATAAACTCTTTATATCGTATCGAACATAGTATTAATCTTTGTGTCGAAACTATAAGCCCATCTCAAGACTAGAGTTTTTTTAGACAAAATTTTAACTGATCAGAATTTTCTTGATCAATCAATACTGCAATAAAAACAAACTTTCACACGTTCAGCATTGCCAGAAGTCTGAGACTTAATTTGTAAAATTTTGATTTGTCTCCAGATTCTTGTGCTTTAAAGCTTAATAATTGCTTCAATTTTTTAATGCATCAGCTCAAATTTAAAAGGTTTATCGATTTCTTGAGCTGATGCATTTTTAATGAGATTCATAACATAGCCATAATATGAATTCGGACAGGTGATATCCATTAATTTAATTAATTAGCATTAAGATTCTTAGAGCGATGCAGTAAAAAATTTCAAATATTTAAACTTCAGTTACAGACGTTTTGGATATTGCTCAAAAGTAATCGTAATGACAAAGCAATTCTTTCTTTTTGTTCTTATACTCTTGATCACAACTCCTTATACTATGGCTATACCATACGATAGACGTAGTTTCCTGAAGAACCAAGGGCCAACTATCTACCTTGAAGATCCAATTGAAAATATTGCTTCAGCTGAAGCAGCACAAGTAAATCAAGTTGAAATCACTGCCCTAAATGCCGACGAAGCAGCCGCGAGCGTTGATAATGAAGCATTCACGTCTTTCATTACAAAACGTAAATTTACTCCAGAATGAATATAAAAATTTTGAATTTGTATTAAAGGTAGTGATTAATTTTTATTTAGCAAATTGTTTAAATTTGAACTTTACGTAAATTTTTTTAATTATCGTTATGCATTTTGTTACATTATCTTACAACTTACCCCTTACACTGTTTTACATACTTTGCCGTAAGATTAACTTTAAATCGAACGCGCATATCGATGTTTCAAACTTCACCTAATTAAGTGTTTATTTATATATGTTTTTAGTTTTAGAAAATCCTAACAGGGAATATGTATCATAAAAATATAGTCGCATCAAAATAAAAAATAAAATAATACAGTATATAGTATATAAATAATAACCTTTATTATCGATAAATTTAGAATGACTTATATAATTTCTATATCGATAAAGAAATTATTTCTTTGAACATTTAATAGTCAGTAGTGAATAAAGATAATATACTTATATATATCATGTCTTATTTCAATATTAAAAGTCAAATGAATACTAATTCGCTTCATTTACATTTGAATATGTTGTTTAAAAATTACAAAAAATGAAGCGATATTTAATATGGCAAAATTTCGCTTCAAGAAAATTTGCCAACCGCTATCTTGAAAAATAGCTCTTCATTATATGATATATTATTTTATAATGCTCAATATTTGTAAATCTTATACTATTCTACTTACAGACTTACCTGTTACACGTCAAGCAATGAATCAAATTAACTTTATTGTATTTATATTTAGCGGACTAAAGTACTAATAATGTCAAATATGTATGACATACGAAATAGTTGATTATTGTTTCAAAAAAAAAAAAAAAGATAGCAAGATAAATCACTGATTATCCCATCCAGGGCATCGTTCTTCGTAATTCATTAACCGTTTTTGGTGATTCTGGCATATCGGAATATCTCGAACTTAGTTGATTCAAAGTAACTGTTCCTTGCACTTTGATCCCACTAATCTCAACTCCTGCTCCAACTCGAAATGGATCATTCGTTAAAGTTGTTAATGCTGCAAGACTTCGCATCTTTTTAACTGATGGATATTTTGGTGGTGTTGATGGACTTGTAAAAAATGATGATGTATTAATTATGCTTGGAGTTTTTGGTGTCTCAGAATATGTCATAGATGATGATGCAGATATAGATCCATTCTCTATTCTATTTCGAATACTTAAATCTTCGTATCCTTCAAACATAATATCAAAATGTTCTATTGCAAGCTTCATTAATATACCAACACCTCCTCCATTAGTATCGTCGTTAACATTCAAAGCACACATACTAACATCTAATAATGGATTGCCACTATGTACTAAATTTGGTGCAAACATTACTGCAAGATTATGTGGTGTCATTAGATTTACGATCTTGTGCTTTGGAATGTCAACAAGAAGTGCGCAAACATATCTTAAGACAAGAACTACTGCTGGGGATAATAAAGGGAAAACACTACTACGAATAAATTCAACTCTTCCCAAATAATTTGGTTTATGCGTTATCTGTTTGAGGATATCATACGTTTCCACGGGGAAAACTGGTACAGGTAATGCATTAAAAAACATTTTGAGAAGAACTGCTGCGACATGGACTCCATAATCTCTTAAATTTATTGGATTTCCTATTTAACCAAGAGACAATGAAAATAATTTTTAAAAAAGAGAGAACCTCGGTTAGATATTCACCATATCACTACATAATATAAAAATATAAATGTAACAAACCTCGATCATATGCTTCCTTTGCTTGTCTTAATAATACAGAGCTAGGTGATCTACGGAACACACCTTCAGTTTCCAACCCTAATTCAATTTATAATTAATGACAAACCAAAATTTATTTATAGTTTAGGATTATATTAAAAAAAGACCGATTTTTTTGTACCTTCTGATCTTATATACGTGACACAGTCTTTAACAACTCTTGGTAATCCATTTTCTCCTTCAGCCCCCATTAGTTTTTCAATAGGAACTCCAAACATCAAATGTCCATCTTCATCATAATTGCGTAAACGTGGTAATGTAATTTTATCTTCAAATTTTAAATTATATCTAATGATATAAACGTAAATCATTATTAATTAAAAATATCAAATATATATGAAAAAATATTATAACTATATAATAATGATATCATACTCGTAAATAGCTGGAGGTATGTCAATCTGTGTAAGAGGAACATGTCTAGCTAATTCGGACAATGTAAGAACGTATTTAACTTTTTTCGCAAATTTTGGACTAAACAAAAATTAATATAAATATTCAGTTATTATAATATTCATGAAATTCCAAAAGAACCAAGTTTATAATCATCATAATTTTTTTTTATAAAATTATTAAATTAAAAAATACCTTATTACGACATTCATAAAATCAAGA